ACGCTCCTGGCATCTTCCACTCCCTTCAAGGATTCTATTACTAGTTCTTGAGGCCTGCACGTATTTCATCATGAAATCTGTATCTATACTCATGCACTCATTTGCTTATATACCTCTGCCCACTAGTACATAATTTTGAGGACAAGAGATAATCCCCCCACTGTAAAATGTCACAAAGCCTTTTATTCTCACCATTTCCCTGGCTTCCTATACTCCGACCCAAATAAACTACTTACATTTTTAGTTTATTAAATTTCTTTCAAACATACACTTTTTCAAGAAAACAAATGATCAATAGATTTATAATATCATCTCTGTATAAAATCAGATGGACACTACCTATTCCTAACAATTTGCATTTGTTTAGTATAAACAATGGAATCTTGTATTTTCGAGGATGAACATTTTTATCAATAGCTGTGATTTATGCACCTAGGATATAGAGACTGCAATGGTAACTATTTTACTAATGGCTTCAGAGTCAACTGTAAAATCTAAGTCAAATGTATAAAATTTTTTTTGCTTTATCTTTTTGGCATATTAATCTTTGGGAAGGGGATAGCTCAGTAATGCACTCCTGCCTGGCAAGTGTAAGGCCCTAAGTTCAATTTCCATACCAAAACAAAAACAAAAAAACCCAACCCCAAACCAAAACACTAATCATCTATACCTTAGCGGTAGTTTTATTCTCCTTATCTAGAACTCTTACATTTTGCTCATTTCTTCATGATGATTTGCATTTACTTTACTAGGAGTTTTATTAAGTGTATTTTTCAATTTAATTATTTAATACATCTTTAAACTTATCCTAGTTAACAAGTTTAATCAAATTTGGTGATTTATTTGGCTTTCTCTCCCTTGTTTGTATTGAGAACATTACTAAGACTATTGTACCCACAAATACTTGCTACATTCATTTTAGAATTCAACTTTACGTATTCCTTACCAATTATAGCTCATCCAGGGAAGGATTCTTTCTTTTTATAAAATGCATGTGGAAGCTTCCGACTTATCTGGTTTAGCTTTGTAACTTATCCACTCATTATTTCTAGCTCAGTTAACTGTCTTAATAATGTGGTATATGATCTGTAGTCAAATATATGAGATTCAGGGTATTTTTATACACACATACACACACAGAGTACACAAAAGTAGGTAAGTAGGCATTAGGCTTTCACTCAGGTAGATACAGGTTTAGACCCAAGCTTAAACTCTCAGACCCCCTAGGCAAAGTACTTATCTATCTTTCCTTCTACCAGCAAAACGGAAGTTTCATGCACAACACAGAGCTGTGATAGCAAATGACAATAACATACATAAAAGTATCAATGTATGCTAACTACTTGTAAATGCCTAACATATTACAAGAAAGAATATTAATTCATTCTCTTTTATCCCAATCTATAAAGGTAATATATAATGTTTTGTTCCATTTTTAGAACATTATTAAATTTTCTTAAGTAGGCCAGGCGTGGTAGTACACACCTGCAATCTCACCACTGGAGAGGCTAAGGCAGGAGATCATTGTGAATTCAAGATCAGCCTGAATTACACAGTAAAATCCTGCTGCAATTTGGGAATCTGATCATGACTTTTACATAAGCACATACTTTGCCCAACATTTTCACTTTGAAGAATCTATTTTCATGAAAGAATCTAAAATGTAGAAATCATCTTATGTACAAGGATGTTCACGGCAGTGTTTCTTATAAATACAAAAAAGAGAAACTAATTATGAGCAATTCATATAAACAGTATGCCATCATTAAAAAGATGACAAAAATCATTCAACAACGTAAGAAAATGTTTATGGTGCAGGTGTGAAAAGGTAGCATACAAAATATTCCGACAGTAAAGTCTCAAGTGTGCAAGTGAGCAAAAACAGACTATTCAATTGCGTAATAATCAAAATTCAGAAAAAAAAATACTGGAAGGAAATGCACCAAAGGGCTTATACTTAGTTACTGCAGTTCTGATACTTGTAATTTTGATTATTTCATGGTTTTTCCTATCACAGTTAAGAAATAATTTTCTAAAATAATGAACAATAATGACATTAATGAGGCTAGAGGTAATTATTTATGGAGCATTCACTACATGCCAGGCCTAGTGCTAAGGGATTATTGTATTAACTCATCTAATCCTCATAACATTGAAATTAAAAAAAAAAACTGAGGCACTGTGAGATTAAGCCCCTTGTCCAAGGTTATTATAGAGGGTGCCAAAATTTGGAACCAAGTAGTCTGGCTCCAGAGCTTTTGTGTTTGACTTCTATCCTACACTGCAAAGTTTTGCTTTGTTGATAATTTTATCCACTAAAAAAGCATATATCAACCCAATGCTTGTGGTCTTTACAGTTAAGTTACCAGCTTTCTTTCAGTCCTGAGTTCAAAACCAAGTGCAGAATAAGATGTGGCCACCATTCCTGTAAGATTTATATACACCAGAAAATTCCAAGACAAATATGCATGTTCCTGATTCAATATCCTGTTTGACCATTAAGACTCTGGAACACTAACATTCTTACTTATTAAACCAACTGATTTAACTTCAAAGAACCCTGCTTAGCTGCTTGGCAGTCTTTGGAACAACCCAACCATATTCGGCTTCTATAACCTCCCCTACACAAACTCTTACCTACCTAATCACAAGTCAGTTGGCACTTTGGCAAACATCCCTCTTCCCTTATGAAGCTCATCCTTCTACAACTCAAGAATCCCTCATCTGCTAGTGCTCAACAGGTGTCTACCAAGGCACTGGCTAAAAGGACCACCAAAGCTCTGCAGTGTAGGATCTAGGGGAATTTCATTCTCCCTAGTCCTTTCTTTAGGAACATGGCATTGTTCTCCATTGTTTTTGAACACCTTATTATTAATCAGGTTGACTTTGCTTTCTTATCCTGCTAGTAAACCAAATTGTTTTGGAAGAAACACGATCATTTTGGCATCAATATGTATTTAAGTATCAACTGCAGGAAGAAATTATAATTTTTACTCTATGGCAAATAACTCCCATTTACTGCTATGCTCCTCTCATCAGTTTATAGAGTACTTGACTAAATTATTTCATTCCAGATCACTTAGTTTAGCTTCCTTTATAGCCAGATTTCTTAAATGTTTGCAGAATCAATATGGTTAACAAATAAAGGAAATTCTTCTAAATATAGGGTGTTTACATTTCACCTGTCATTGACAGCTTTTAGAAAAACTCAGTTCATATTTGGATTTTAACATTATATAAGAAATGCCTGTAATTCCAGCACTTGGAAGGTTGAGGCAGGAGAATCACGAGTTCCAGGCCAGTCCTGGGCTACATAATCAGTTGAAGCCCAACATAAACTATAAAGTGAGACTCTGTCTAAAAAAAAAAAAAAAAACCTCTCAAAACAGAAAACATTATATATGAAAAACCAGAGTCATAAAAGTAACGAATACAAATGTTTGTGATGGAAACATTTACAACCAGACTTATATATCATTATTTTTATCAAAATCTTATTCCACCCACATTATACAGTGGTAAAAGGCTTTTGGAATGAAAGTACAAGTTTTAAAAAAAGAATTTTATGGCTATTTTAGTGAGAGGAATTTAATAATTCTTGACCATGTTGAAAATGCAACCACACCAAAGCTAATCCGTGGTACAGGCTCTTCGAAAGAAAGAAAGAAAGAAAGAAAGAAAGAAAATGGAGCTAATAGAGCACTTCAATAGGCTTAAACTTAATTACACCAAGTAAAAAGACATTCTCTGCTAAAGACTATGTATTTATACATTGATATGCCAAGCAGTTTGTTTTTGTCTTTAAATGTGCACCTTCACACTAGTATTTCCCATTTGTAGTTTGAAGTTCTCAACTTGCTGTTGTCATTCGTTAGAAACTAGGGCTCAGAAGGAGAATGTAGAAAACAGAATCTTCCTGTTCTTCACTACAAACAATTCCTTACCACTTTAATAGGAAAATCGTGATAAAACATGTAAACTTTAAATCCAGCAAGAACTTTAGTTATCCTAAAAATGAGCACATTTGGACAGCCATTTTACAATCCTCTATTTGCCAGTACCTCCTTCACCAAATGTGCATTTTAGAAGTAGCTTTTGAGAAGGGGGAAGTAATTTAAGTATTCATCCTTCAAGTCATCACCGTTTCAAAGAAGGGCTTTTATTAAGCTTCTTAACACAACTGTCAAAACCAATTAGTGGACAGCCTCCAACTTCAAGTTTTCTACATTGATATTTGCTGACCGGCCAGAATGACAGTGATGAAGACAACAGATATTTATACTGCAAGAAATTCTTGCAAAATCCCGTTTGATTTTTACAATCAGTGACCAACGAGCGATCATTTTTAACGAAAAAAAGCCATTCCAAAGCCAGTCTGCGATGGCAGAGCCGCTGCCCGCCAGCTGTGCCCCCGTCGCGTGCGCACGTAGGTGGGGAGGAAGAAGTGCAAAAACCACGAGCCCACGCAGAACTGGTAGTCACAAGCACTGAAATTGTGCAAACACGCCGCGAAGCCAAGAGATCCTCCCAAGAGAAAGAACAGCCGGAAGAAAGCGATCCCCGCATGAGCGCGCAAGCTAGGGTGGGCAGGCGGGCCTCGGGTGGGCTGCGGGGCTCCGCCGCTGCACAAAGGCGGGCGCCGTCGGGCAGCCCAGGGGGCGGAAGCAGGCTTCTCGGCGCAACCTACGGCCGCACCCAAGGGCCCCAGACGCCGTCGTTTCCCGGACCCGGGCATAGCTTCCCGAGCAGCAAACCTTGCCTTCCCCGCCCCCGGAACGAGGTATGGATCCCGACCGTGGTCACCGGAGAAGCGGCCCGTCCACCTGCGCCCACGGCCCGGCTCGCCGGTGCTGGGCTCAGCAACGCGCCGCGCCCGGTCTCCAGTCGGCCCGGCAGGCACGCTGGGCGCGGAAGGCCCGGCACCTCTCCTCCGGGCGCGGCGCGGCAGCGCTGGTACGCCTAGCCTCCGCTCGGGAGCCGCGCGCCCCCACACCACCTACCCGATCCCACACCATCCCAGAGGCCTCCGGTGCTTGGGCCCTCTGCCGAAGCGGCGCTGCCTCCGTCCGGGGCCTGAAATGGCTGCGGAACAAAGAGAATCTGGGCTGTTGCAAGCGCCGGTCCCATTGGCCGGGAGGCGGGGCCCGCCGCCGGAACGTTCCGCGGCGGTCGCCTTGGCAACGCGGCGGCAGAGCTGGGAAATCCTTGGCCAGGGCTCTGGATCTTGGAAGCTGGAGTACTGCGCGAGCTGTGGTCTCTGGCAGACCCTGCAGCCTCGGGCCTCGGACCATCGTGTTGGCTCGCAGATGCCGGAGCTGCGGCCTAGAGAAAGATAGCCTGCCTGCACGAGTGCTCGCCGGGGGCCTTTGCAGGGCTCTCCTCAGAGTGGACCCTATCTCAGCCTATCTACTGTACCCAAGCATAATCCTCAGGTGACAACCAGGGCCCAGGAACACCCCACATATCTCTCAGTAAAACAATTCGACTTTTCTGGAAAAAAAACCAGAAATGGCTTTGAGAAACAGATGTGGGCTGATGGCTGTCTCCTTCATTCAAGACAGGCTATTGAGGAAAGCTACTGAGGTATGCTATTGAGGTGGCACAAAACTACAATGAAAATGAAAATTTAGCTATAATTTATAACATGCAGATTTGTGACTACATGTATGCTTCTTGTATAAAAGTAATTTGTGTTAAAAATGACAAACCCTGGGCTGGGGATTTAGCTCAGCGGCATAAGCACCTGCCTTGCAAGCAGGCGGTCGTGAGTTCGATCCCTGGTACCAATAAAAATGAAAAAGACAATAAAAAAAAAAAAAAAGATTGAGAAATGACAAACCTTTCTCACCGTTAACTAGCCATCATGAGAAACTAAAATGTCTCATATTTTTGGAACTGAAAATAATTCACAATGAGAGCTAGACGTTTTTAAACACAGTTGTAATCTTTACGCAGATTGTTCTGCTATATAAATTTACTGTGTGAATATTTAAAATTCTTTTACCTAGGTGGTGATCTTTTCCTACTGTGGTGATGCTGGTGATAATATTCCTCACATGATCAAGGTGTATAGTTTCAACTTCCTGACTTGAAAGTGCTCTGTGTGTTTTGAAAATATATAGCAGTTGTTGACTTTGAGGCACATTCTAGATAAAAATATAGTATCTAAGACTAGAAAGTGTTAAGTTTTTACTAAGACAGTTTGTTAATAAACCTACTAATAAAGTTCATTTAGTATAGCAAGCATTTACAGGAAGAGTTTATTTAATTTAAGTTTGGAGTCTACAGGACCATTTTTATCATTCAGAAGTTGAACATAGCAAAGGAAAATACTTCAAATAACTAAAGCATGATTTCAACATTTTCTAATGTTAATTTGATAGCAGATACAGTAGTGAACACGAAAAACTGGCCCTCAAATAGGAATGTATGCAGGTTACTAAGAAAAACAGTTTACTGTGAACCTTCCTAAGTAGAAGTCTAGTATGTCTTCAGGGAAATTCATCTAGAATAAGTGTGCTTGTACAAAAAACAAGTAGGACTTATTTTTGTCTTTGAAAGTCACAGTGTGGAATAGGGACTTTTTGTGTGGTGAATGCACCCTACTTTCCTAACGATTAAAAAAAGGAAGAGTTTTAAAATCTAAAAGAATAGCAAATGGTGACGAATGTAGAAAACTACTGACTAAGCAGTTAATAAAGAATTCACTAGATTAGTGTTTTGAAAATGACTGCAAAAAAGTGAAGTATTAGCATTTATAAGAGGATTTGTCTTACATATGTTAAGTAATGTTTTGAAAGAAAAAATCTTGATTATATGATGTTTTAAAATCGAATTTAGGATAATTATGTATCACTCTGAAGTTTAATGAAAGTAAAAAATATTAAAATAAAATAGTTCTGTGCAGAATAGAGATGTTTACACATGTAGTCATTTTGTTTCTATCTTCTGTGTTAAATTGAAAATACTTTCTTTAAAAAATAAGTTTTCCCATTAACAAGGGTTTAGAAACATGGCTTACTTTAATTTTTTTTCCTGTTATTTGGGGTTGTTTTGTTTTCTTTTGTTTTGTTTTGCACAGTTTGCACAAATAATAGCAACTATCCAGTGGTGTTTTCTCTTTATGCCTAAATAGAATACAGCAACACTTGTGGAGAAACTTTAAAGAATTGTTGATACTTTAAAATGACTTACAGAGGGCCAGAGATTTAACTCAGTGGCATAAGCGCCTGCCTCGCAAGTGCAAAGTTGTGAGTTCAGTTGAGTTCAGTCCCAGGTACCAAAAACAAAACAAAAACATTTTTAAAAAATGGCTTACAAAGAAATTAAAAAATAGTAAAAGAAAATACCTGTCTTTAAACTTCAAAATCTTTTATAAATATATATATTAAATTTCTATATTATTTTTTCTTAGGTGAAAAAATTGATAAATATAAAAATTAGAGAGTATTAGCAGTTATAAAACAACATTCAAGGAAGAAAACAAACCTATAAACTTTCACCTAGGAAGAAAACATGCTTATTTTCTGAGCCATAGCTCTGTCAAAACAGTGTGGAGCTTGAGATCAGAGGGCCTGGCCTTTTGTTCATGCTGGGTTTACCACTTAGGAGCACTGTCCATTCTGTCTCTGAGCTTCACTCTTTGTTTTGAACAGAATGAAGTAAGAGCCTGTTAACTGCATGCCAGGCAGACAGTTACAGGACAATAAGTGAAAGTATTACTAGAATTTATATATAGAGAGAGACATAGAAACAGATATTTGACTGAGAAGAAGGAATGAATATTGAGAAAAAATAGATCTGGAAACCCAATAACTGTTAAATAAATATTTTTAATAGGCAATTGTTATCAGTATAAAAAATTCAGCAAGGTAAATGAAGTAATCTTTTAGATATAGGCAAGTTTCTAAAATAGGATACTTCTGAAAAGTATTGTTTCTATTTATACCTCTGGAAAGACATGAGAAATTTCCTATTATTTAACACTAGACAGTTTAAGGAATTGTCAAAACATTTTCAGACTGGCCTTTGGAAAAAAATTTTTAAAGTAATTATTTAGGCGAATTTAATTCAGATGTTAAAAGATGACAGTTACTTTTAATGTTCAGAAATATGAAAATAATCTGTAGGTATTTCTTCTTTTAAAACATACCTATATAGAAAGCTTTAATTTATAATATAATAATTTTAGTTATTGTCAACTTTAATGTTCCTATAATTATTATCTTTTAGAGATTGAAACATAGACTTCCATTTCTGGAAAGATGGAATAGACATCTTCCTTATTCCTCCCACTAAACACAGCTGAAAACCCTAAACATTTTATATAAAATAAACATTGGCCTCCAAAAGGTTGAAAGAAAACAGATGAACTAGGGACCTGAGGACACAAAGAGAGCATACTATGATTAATTGTCTGGGTTTTTTTTGTTGTTGTTTTTTGTCTCATATGTTCTAATTTTGAAACTGAAGAACCAGCAACCTAAACATACCAATGGCACAGACAAAAAGCCCCATCAAAGTGAAAAGACAACCCACTATCTGGAATGTAGGGAACTTAGGAACCAAGAAAAAGGACATTAAGGAAAAAAATGGGTAAATACAATAGTATAATACAAATTATCATAACTCAGCCAACATGAAATAATTGAATAGCAGAAAATTTAATCCATCATTTAAAATTTTCCTTAAAAAAATTCTAGGCCCCCAATTTTTCACTGGAGAATTCTACATCAAGCACTTAAAGAATTTGTACCTAGCCAACTGTGGTGGCACACATGTGTAATCCCAGCACTTGGGAGGCTGAGGCAGGAGGATTGTTGCAAGTTTGAGACGGGCAAGGACTACAAACTGAGCTCAAGCCCAGCATGAACTGCATAGCGAGACCCTGTCTCAAAAAGACAAAAAAAAAAAAAAAAATTGTACCTTTATGTACAACGTTCATTTTTTCAGAAACTAGGAGAAGAGAGAACACTTCCCAATTTATTATGAGAGATGTGGGGAACTTGATCCCTGGATCCCATTAGAAAAGTCCATTGCCTCTGCCAGATTACCCGTTTCCCTCAACCGCTCTCTTGTCAGTGGGTCTTTCGTATTGTCTATAGAGTGACTTTCCAAGAAAAGTCAGATGATGAAAACTGTTGGGAGCCTGCCATGTTATTCATGAGAGCATATTCATAAGATGGCACCCGCCTGCCGCCTCCACTGCTCCCCCGCCCATCGTGTGCCCAAGATGGCGCACACATCCTGCTTCCTGGTTCTTGCTCGGCTTACTGTCCCCGCCATATATGGTAATGATTGATTGCTTCCTTGTTGCCGCCCAATCGCCTGTCCCCACGTGTAATCCCATGATTGGATAACATTAGCTATATAAGCCCAAGTATAGGAAGTGCCCGACGCACAACACGGAAGAAGCCGTCGAGGACGGACATGTATTGAGGTTGCTGCCCAGTCAATAAAGGTGCTTGCAGAGGCTGAGTGTTCGTGTGCTCCATTCCGTGGGACGGAAGCGGCTCCGGACAGAAAACCTTTTCCAGAATTAAATATTACTGTAATATTTTTAACAGTTGTATGATTGTAAGAAAAAATGTCTTTTAGGGTTAGGTCCTACCCCAAATTTCTAATCATTTGCAAACCAAACAAGAATTGTGTTAGGATTAGATTCATTTGCAAATGACAAAGAAAATCAAGGTAAAGGTTTACCTGTCACATAAGCATAGGTTGTTCACAGTGGGACTGGAAGCATCATAATTAACAGAGGGGTAGGCTTTTGTATATTGCTGCTTTTCCATGCTTAATATAAACCTTCTTTCTCATGGTTCAGTGTAGGTTTCCAGGTGTCACCTTGGTGATTTACAACCATATTTTTAGGAGAAAAGAGAAGGAGAGGTGCAAGTCTCCTTAAGTTGTGTATACTACTTTTACTTGTCATTAGGTTGAACACATATTGTTACCAAGTTTAACATTTTGTACTAAGTACTCCCAAGGGATAGTGTAAGTTTTCCTCTCCAGTACAAGATTCGCCTCCCCCAAACTGGATATGACACACCCATACTCCAAACCTGCCCAGTGATCTCCAATAGCTCTTAGAGTCAGATCTTTTGAAGCTATGCACAGTCTTCCCTTCGTTTTCTAACCATTTTCTGCCTGTTCCCTAC